TAATCAGAGCTACTTTAAGAGTTTATTATCACATTTCACAGACACTGGAGATACTAACACTGGAGACTGGACTGCTGATCTTTTGCTTAGGGAGTGACTGCCTCAAAATAAGATCACTTACTTTTAGATATTTTTGCTTTCTTAAACTGCATTACAACTTGAAAACAACTTTAAATAGAATATTGCATGTTTGTCCATATAGATGCACAAGTACTAGTTTTATTCATACAGTGGGCGTGAGTTGTTTTGATGCTGCTGCTTGTTAATGATAGTTTCTTTAAACGATGGCTTTACTTTGGATGCCGAAGCACATAACTGCACTTCCCTATTCCTTAATGATGAGTATAGAGCGCGGTGCCGTTTGCTTCTAAGTGTATAATTATAATCAGCGGGAGACTCCCTGCTCGTCTCAGCCCGCGTCAGGTGCGTGTGGTCCGGCTTCACTTGGACCAATTCCAGCCACAGCACAGGAGTTGGAGCGGAGCCAGGCAAATCATGGAGGTACGACACGGGGAGACAAGCAGAGGACGTTGGACTTTGCAGCTTACGGCACCAATATTATGTGGGCGGTGGTGCTAACTGTAGGCTCGGCTCTGTCTGAAGCTTTAATCTGAACATAATTTGACCAAAAAGAATGGATTTAGCTAGAACTACAATGCTCGAAAACGAAGTCTCTCTCAAATAACATAAACAGTCACAAGCCAGCAAGCTAGATTATGTTATTTTAACTTCTTAGGTTCTTTTTAAAGACAATGCAGTAAAGTGTATTTACCTTGTTGACATATTTCGGCTGCTAGCTGCAAGCCATCTTCAGAACTGTCACCGGTGTTGGTGGTGACGTGTCGTATATCAGCTGTTGTTACTTCCTGTAGGCTAGATTATGAGTGCAAAATTAAAAAGTGCATGTGGTGTTTGTGGTCTGTTGCACCCACTTGACTGTATAAAAAAGTGGACTAAGCAAGTGTGACGTCGCCCATAACGTTTAGTTCTACTCAAATGAAGCTTCTGAGCGAGCGAATTTGGAGCCAAAACTCCATATTTGGAAAGTATCATAGCAACCACAAGAGCCAATCATGACTGAGATCGTTAAATGGAAGGAAAAAAAGTGGGAAGGGACTTACTTAGCAACGCAACACACTAGCTGTCAATCAAACCTCTGGGAATTAAAGCGTCTGATTGGTCCGTTATTTATGTTCAAATCTTGATTTAGGGACAAAATAATGAAATGAAAAATTCAGGATCATGTAGAGCGGGTTAATACGAACATTTTAAGACCAAAATGACGAGGCTCGCTGCAGCAGTTACAGAGAGAGGAGCAACAATATTCCAATGTAAGTCAATTGGAGCCAGAGTCAGAAGGAGCTGGAAAAACCTCCTGGCGAACTTCCTATATGGAACGTGACGGCTTGTACATTAGCTATGTCCATTCATATATACGGTCTATGGTTGCACCTGATTTTCCATTAGAAACCGCAATTCCAATGTAAATGAGAGTTTAGCCTCTGAGCAAAGGGATTGAGCTGTTTCTGCTCTGTACACACACGCTTAGGCCTACACACACACACACACACACACACACACACACACACACACACACACACACACACACACACACACACACACACACACACACACACACACATAGGCTAAAACAATATGAGGACTTTGACTTATGTGTCACTGTTTTTCTTCAATCATTTAATACAACTGATACTAGCTTCAATTTCAGTTTAAAAAAAAAATCAGCTTTGCACCGTGCTCACAGTAGATATATGCTCATAGGCCTCTATATATAGGCTTATGTGCCACTCTTGAGCAAAGAAAAAAAAAACTGTAGTTGAATAAATTATAATAAATACTTGTGTTTACTTATAAAGGTTTTCTGGTTTGTCGACTGTTGGATAAGACAGCTTTAGTATGAAACAAGCGCAATCAGAGAGAGCAACCTGGTCCCCCATGAGGCATCGCTGGGGTCAGTTCATCACCACAGAAGCAGTTTATGAGGAGCCCAGCCCATATTACATGATCGTTATATCCACAATACAATGTGTGTATCTGTACAGTGCCCATGAACATTTGTGTGATATTGGTCACACATAAGAATGCCTGTGTTTACTCTTTCTGACATTTTGAGACCACTCCCTTTGCTGTAGCTTGATCCTTTGTGGAGTTATGACCAAAAACGCATATTTGACCTTCGTTACCTTGACCTTCAGGTGACCTCGACCGGTTTCAACCTGTAACATCCAGTGTACCCAGTTATTTTCCTTCATAATGGCATGACCGTTCAATTAACCTGTGTGACCTCAAATGACCTTGGATCATCACCAAACCTTTTTTGTGGCATCAGGCACGAGGGCTTGACCCACTAGAGATGCGCGGATTGCGGTTACAACCGCGGTATCCGCGGGTCGAGGCGGATGACGTGATGAAAAATTATATTTTAATTAAATTCGGGCGGGTGGCGGTTTAACTACTAAAAAAATAAATAAATAAATAAAGTTATTGTTAGTATTGTTACCTACATCTGAAAAGACGAGTCTCATTGTCTATGCTTGTAGTATGAAGTGTACGTCATATCCTTAATTAGCCCATTTGACCTCGTTTTTATGTTCTGAAGGTTAAGGTTGTGTCGGGTTATTGATGCCTAAGGTTTACGAGGCACATATTATATGCAGTTTATTTTATTATTTCTAATTTATTTCAGCTGTTTGCCAACACATAAGTGGCTATAGGGCCAAATTTATTTAGTTATGCATATTTTTTCTTGTCTATTTCAATTGGAATATAAAGAAGGCATTGCCTGATTTCAATAAAGGTTCATCTGGATGAGATGATCTGTCTATTTTGTTTTGATATCAGATATATTTTAAAACACGCAGACATTATCGCGTAGACTGACACTCGGGGTATTTAAAACTTAAAGAAAGACCGATGGAGTGAGGCTATGACTTTGAAATAACATCGGGCAATGGCAGAATGTTCAGAATGTAACAACATCCAACACGAAGGCAAGAAGGTTCAAAAATAGCCTAGTCCGAAAACGTTGTCAATTAATTAGCTGTGCAAGAAAACCAGGTAAGTTTGGGGTTGTTACGGACAATTAAGAATGCGAACATACACGCTGAGCGAATTTTGGAATGAATGAGCTATAGAGTTTGCATTTTTATCGAGGCTCCTTAGTTTGTTTGCTGTATGATTGTTCTAAAATCTAAAATCAATCGGCGGATGGCGGGCGGGTGCGATTTTGAAAACCTTCGGTGCAAAATGGACAGCGGGCGGATGATGAGTTTTGTGTCGCGGTTGCGGATGAAAAAACAGCCCATCCGCGCATCTCTATGACCCACGTAACAAATTTGGTGACAATCGGTCCATAAATGGCGGAATTATCGCGGGTGGACAGACACACACACACACATAGGGTGAATACAAAACCTGGTCAACCCTTCAGGGACCAAGTAATGAGGAGAGAGAGTTGAGATATTTGGCAAATGGTTTTGGTGGAATCAAACTCACAACACAAGAGGGTATCAACCACATACATGTACAACACCCTAAACCACTACATCACAACGCCCTATACCTGTGGTCCATAAGCCCTGCGCCAGGGACTGATACCGGTCTGTGTGTCGTTTGGTACAGGGCCACATACTCTGAACAATGTTTTATTTTGAAAAATGACCAAATTCTCTCTTATATCCATCTATGACTCACTCTTGACTCACTCTCACTCTCGGTCACGTGATACATTAACGCTAATATGAAACCCACAAGCTGCAAAACAGTTAAAAAACAGACGTCTTTGGAAACGTTCATTATTATTAGTGCTGTCATGCGATTAAAAACATTTTGAGATTAATTAATTATGATCTGTAATTAATTAATCTAATTAATCTCATTTTAATCTCATCTAAAAATTGCTGAGGTATTTTCATTTAAATTCATTATTACATTATTGTGGCAGATCAAAACACTGATATAGATTTAAAAAAGTGACTTTATAAAGTCATTTATTGTTTAACAAATCTCTCCAAATTGGCTGTTGAGCCCAAGTCTCCATGAATAAGAAACTGTTTGTTGTAAAGTAGCAAAGACGAGGAAATCTGAACATAATAACTTTTGTCTACTTAAAGACTTTAACATGACGTTTGCATCGCTCTTACTGCGTGCGTTTTGTGTGGGTTTCCGGCAATGAGAGGAATTACCAAAATAAAATTTTTTTATAAATGTGGTTTTTGTGTGTGTGTGTGTGTGTTATTGTCCCAACAACACATAAAAACAGGTTTTATAATAAAGAAACTCACATACAGAAACACTAAAGTTAGAGATTAAAAATGAGATTAACGCGATTAAAAAACATAACGCGCTAAATATGACTGTAATTAATTAATCGCAATTAACGCGATAATTTGACACCCCTAATTATTATATTTACAGAATACCACAGTTTTCGTGTTGGTCGTATAATTTTATTTTGTCGCATTTATCCGCCACACCCTAAAGGCCGGTCCATGAAAATATTGCCCTATACCACTACACCACAACGCCCTATACCAGTACAGCACCGGTGAGCACAGAGCTGAAGTTAAATTGAAATAGTTCGGCATTGCCCAACTTGTTTGTAGCGCTCACAAACCTTTCCCCACGCCGATAAGTCACATCTGATTTTCGCATTCACAACAGAATTTACCATCACTGCAGTGCCAACAACTCCCAGCACATCCTTCAGCACGACAGTCTGACAAAACCCACACTAACAAATCCCATGGGAAGTTTGCAATTGAAAAAAGGTCTATAATTCTATGCACAAAGCCTGCAGTGGTATTTTTGTCTGATAAATAACAGCATCTACAGCATACTTGCAGCAGAAAGGATTATATAAGGACCAAGAGTTAGGTACACAGACTTTAACCTCTGTCTGTTTAACGCATTTTTATTTCCAGACTTGCATCAATGTAATCATAAGTATAGAACATCTGAAAAGGTCAGACAGTCTGTACCTTGAACCTCCTTGTCGTTGCGGAACCAGCGGATGTTGGCGGCGGGTTTGCTCCCCCATGTGGTGCAGGTGAGTGTGACCAGCTCCCCCTCCAGAGCGGGTCTGGTGAAGCCCGTGATCTCCGGTCGCCGTGGCACCCCTGAAGAGGACGGATATGAGGTTATGTGGCCATCCTATAATGTCAATGCCAGATCTAAGATAAGAGACTGGCAGTGGTGGATGAAGTACTGAATTTTAAGTAAATAAAAGTGCAGATACATGGGCAAGAAGTTACTCAAGTAAAAATATCACATGAAAAAAATCTACTTAAGTAAAAGTGTTAAAGTACCTGTTTAAAAATGTACTTAAAGAATAAAAAGTAAAGCATTTTGTAGAGATTTTTTAGAAGGAGGAAGGTTTGTGGGACTGAAACTTCGTACCAACAAAAGAAAAATCAAGAGTGAGACAGTGTGCAGGAGTTTTTCTTTAAAAACAGCTAAGTGCCTCTCCTCCAACGCACCTGTCGCCCAGTCAGGTGTGCAGAGTCTACACAGAAAGTAGAGATTTTTAGAACAAATAAAAGATTAAATGTAGTGATTTTGATAAAGATTTTAACCAGTTTTAAGTGATTCAATTAATTTCTTAATCTTTCAAGCTGTTTTTGTGTATTTGGTTTGTTCAAATTTGGGAAACTCAAATTAAATCTCAGCCATTTCAAAGTACTTTTTAGTTTTCGGTCCAGATCTAAAATGTTGTGGAGTAGGAAGCACAGATGCACATTCTCAAATATAATGAAGTAAAAGTAAAACATATCCACTGAAAATTTTACTTAAATTAAGTACAGATATCTAAAATTTGTAGTATTGTACTTTGACTTTTATACTCTGTTACTATCCACCACTGGAGACCGGTGGAAATAGCAGGTGCCACGGTGCGGCAGTAGGGGCTCTAATGAAAACTGTTGTTGTGCACTTAAGCAAGACACGTCACCCTAACTGCATGAAAGAGCTATACAATTATTTTTTATTTTTTGGCTTAATATATATATATAATTGAACATTGGGATTGATGTCAGATGATCCTTTCTACTACATGTGTAATTGTTCATGTTGTCGTTGGACTGGAAGGCTGTTAAACTTGATGCAAATGGAAACAAAATTGGTAAAAATGTCTGAAATGATCTGGAATCTGAAATGATAAGAATAAGTATGTACATTTCTAGGATTAACACTTAAAGGGCTCATGTTACGCTATTTTCTGATCTATGTTATAAAGTTGTTTCCTCATCAGAAACCAGAGGTGGGACCAAGATACTGTTTTGCAAGACTCAAGTAAGTCTCAAGTCTTTGACCTCAAGTCCGAGTCAAGTCCCACGTCAAAGACAGGCAAGTCCAAGTCGAATCTTGAGTCACCAGCCCATAAGTCCAGGTCAAGTCCAAGTCGTCTTCTTTGAGCTTCAAGTCATTTCAAGTCCTTAAATCAAAGTACCAAATATAGCTTAGATTTATGCAGTTTATATGAATTTTAAACTAAACTGTACTTAAAAAGGTATGTTATATTTATATATGAGTGTTTATATACAAGTTGTATAAATGCTAATTGTTCCTTTTTAAATGTATTGACAAGATCTTATTGTGAATCATTACAGTCAGAATATAAAGTCTTCTCAAGTCACAGGGCTCAAGTCCAAGTCAAGTCCCAAGCCACTGACCCTAAGTCCAAGTCGATTCCCAAGTCTTGATCTATTTTATCAAGTCAAGTCTCAAGTCCTAAAAATAGTGACTCAAGTCTGACTCGAGCCCAAGTCGCGACTTCCAAGTCCCCACCTCTGTCAGAAACAGACCTGGAGTTGTGTTTTCATTGTGTTTCATTTACAAATGTTTAACACACAAATCCTGCATATTTAGGCTGAGCTTTTCACTCACAATGAAAACACTTCCACCTTGTGATGTCATGTCGTAATACAAGAAGTGCTCCACAGTTTTTTCAAACTCCGTACACCTTCACTAGAATCATTTGGTTCATTTCAGCCCTGGAATTTCCAATCTCTACTGAACAAAAGGCAAAAGGAGCTGTTAACTTGACATCACAAGGAAGAGAGCGTTTTGAGATGTAGACAGACTAATAATGCAGGATTAGTCAAATGTGTGAATAAAACAAAACACAACTCCAGATCTGTTTTTTTTTTTTTTTTGAAGAGGTAACAACATTATAACGTGGCTTAAAGCTCACAAGGGTCCATTTTGCATCATATAGAACTTTTAATCACACAAAACTGAACCATTTCTAAAGAAGATCAAGCCAAACTACGCTGGGATATTCACACAAAACACACACCGAGTTAAGTTTTTGATGAGGAAACAACATTATAACATCTGTGTGTGTGTGTGTGTGTCCTGACCTAGCACGGTGAGGTAGGCCTTGGTGGTCTTCACGGGCATGGTGAACAGGGAGCAGGTGTAGAGGCCCTCGTCTGCCAGGCTCACGTCACTGATCCTGATGGTCAGCTCCTGAGACGACGCCCGCACCAGCTCGATCCGGTTATCCCGAAGAGCTGCAAACACACAGAAACACGAGAGACATGAAGCACAACCTGATGATGATGGTGATAGTTCTGTTTTCATTTAATTTATTTACTTAGAGCAGATTAAGGAACACGAGAAGCATACATGTATCTAGTACACTTAATGTATTTAATGTATCAGGGATGTAGTGGGGATTTTTTAAATGGGGGTACGCGATTCGTGACTAAACCAGGACTAAACCAGGTCTAAACCAGAACTAAACCAGGACTAAACCAGGTCTAAACCAGGACTAAACCATGTCTAAACCAGAACTAAACCAGGACTAAACTAGGCCTAAACCAGAACTAAACCAGGTCTAAACCAGGACTAAACCAAATCTAAACCAGAACTAAACCAGGACTAAACAAGGACTAAACCAGGTCTAAACCAGGAATAAACCACCTCTAAACAAGGACTAAACCAGGACTAAACCAAGTCTAAACCAGGACTAAACCAGGAATAAAACCAAGTCTAAAGCAGGTCTAAACCGGAACTAAACCAGGACTAAACCAGGTCTAAACCAGGTCTAAACCAGGTCTAAACAAGGACTAAACCAGACTAAACCAGGTCTAACCCAGAACTAAACCAGGACTAAACCAAGTCTAAACGAGGACTAAATCAGGACTAAACCAGGACTAAACCACCTCTAAACAAGGACTAAACCAGGACTAAACCTGGTTTAAGCCAGGACTAAGCCAGGTCTAAACCAGGTCTAAACCAGGACTGAACAAACCAAGACTAATCTAGGACTAATCTTGGACTTGACAGAGAGAAGGAGAACCCTGAGCCCGTGGAGCAGGGTGTCTGCAAAGCGTGATCGGGTGGCGGCTGTGTTTAGCCCCGTGGGGCGCGGACCTCTGCACCGGTCCTTTCTCCTGTGTATTCACCCAACTGTCTACCCGGGCACACCTCCGGGCCCATCCCAACACTCAGTCCTGGTTCAGTCCTGGTCCCTCATGTCTCAGGTCACTACTGTATTTTCAGTTTGAGAGAAGAACTCAGCCTAAATATGCAGGTTTGTGTGTTAAATGTGTGAATGAAACAAAAAACAACTCCAGGTCTGTTTGTGATGATGAAACAACATTATAACATGGATCAGTAAATAGTCTAGTATGGGCCTTTTAATTTCTGTCTCGTCCAAAATCAGGTCTTAACGAAACTTTACCCAACACAAACTTAGAAACACTGAAAGAGTCACTGCTAAAACTGGGGTGTACTGGAAAATGCTCACACTATATGAACAGAGGAACGGCCATGTTTATCAAAAAGAAAATCAGAACAAACATTATGAAATTTTGTTTATCTGTTAAAGCGGTGGAGCTCTGGAACAACTGTGCACCAGCCTCTTCTACTTTATAAAGAAGTTTAAATGTTTAACTCTGGGCAGAAACATGAATTACGAGACTTAGTTTGTGCTGTAGGACTTTGTTGTACTGTTACTGATTTGTTTGTTTCCTCTCGCTGTATTTATGAAGATGAACTGGTGTCAAGATGACGCTCTGATAAAGGAATAAAGAATAAGGATAATAACTCAAGCTTCAGCCTCCACCTTTTCGGTCTGTGTATGTTAAATATGACTGTCTGTGGAATAATGTCAGAATATACCGATTGAAATAAATCAAACATGTTATTTCTGTTTAGATATCTTTCTAAAGGTGCATTGTGTCACTTTTCTGGTAGAGGGTCCTTCACCTGCTTGTTTCTGTGTCACTGCTCTGCCTGGAATGTTCCACAGTATGACATTAAACCACTCTATCTTACATTTATTCAATTACAGTGGGTTTTATTGCACAAAAATACCTTGAAAAACAGGCATTCTGACTGTGAGCAGGGTTGCCTCTCCACAGATTTGACCTGTAACTTCGTCTGATTTGGTCTCCATGAAGATAGAAAGGTTTAATACAAAACTGTGAAACATTCGACAGTCCCTCCACCAGAAAAGTTACACAATGCATCTCGTAATAACATGCAGCGCAGGGCGTCTGACATCAGCCACTAGACAGAGTGTTTCAAGAACTTGTGATTATACTGATGGAATCGGACTCATTTACACGTAATTACAACTAATTGGAAAGAACCTAACAGCCAGATTTCCCTCTGGGCTTTATTAAAGTTGAATTGAAATAAGCACTTCACCAAAGCTCGCCTTCCGTAGAGACTTTTTTTTCACTTAGAAGTCAAATTTAATGCACGCCATGCTAAGTTCCTATCATAATTTTCTGTCAGTCCATCACAGCCATACCTTTCTCACCTTATGGTCAAATTTTTATACAGCTCTTTTACACCAGTCAAAGCTAGCCTTATTCATCAGCTGGTTTTACTTCATGGAAACCGTCTGACCTCGTAGCATGAGGATTTGTTCACTCGATGGTTGGTGGGTACTTTTTTTATTTAACAAATCGCCGCTATTTAGTCGTGACGTATGTAATGCACCAAATCCTGTAGGAAGAAGGGCAATAACGTCTTTCCCCTTGATAAAATTCACCAAACATTCTCTTTGTTCTGCTGGTGTCCAGAGTCAGGACTAAACACGGGGATTCAGCGTTTCAAGTTCACGCAGCTAAAACCTGGAACAGTCTTCTTGAAGATATGAAACAGACCTCTACTTTGATGCTTTAAATCCAGGCTCAAAACAATTCTGTTTAGCTGCACATGACTGAAAGGTTTTCATACCGTACTCTTCTCTTTAATTTATGTAATTAATGTCTCTCTCTCTTTTCTAATTTTAAACTTTAATTTTATGATGATTATTTATGTTTTGATTTGTTTTATTGTGATTTAAATGTTTTTCTTATGCTGTAAAACACTTTGATTTACTTTGTGTACGAATTGTGCTATACAAATAAACTTGCCTTGCCTTTGTTCCAGCTTTAAATCCTCCATAATGGGAATCATTGCCAACACAGAATGTATGTCTTCGTCTACATCCATCTCGACTGTTTTGTTTACTGTTGTGTTGTACCACAAAACGGACCCAGACAGGTGCTTCAGTTTGACATCGTGGCTTCACAGCTCTTCGCTGATTGGCCAGGTGCATGGTCTACAACTTCTGGGGTTCTTGCAAACCGTCTAGTGCAGACATGTCAAGCTCAGGGCTGGCAGCCAAATTTGGCCCACGACATAATTTATATTTGGCCCGTGAGATCATATCAAACATGTATTAGAGTGGCCCGCTGGCTACAGATAAACTATAGAGACATTATTTATTAAAAATGTTGTTATTATTTTATATTATCCTTGTTCTGGATTCAGTGTTTAAACAAAACTATTATTAAACATTTATCTTAATAAGAAAAGTGTAACATTACATATCTTGAAAGAAGAGAAAACATGCAGATTGTTGTTGAAATTTTCCAATAAATATTTAGTTTGGCTCACAACTTAGTCACAGTTTTTAATTTTGTCCCTCTGTGAATTTGAGTTTGACACCCTTAGTATAATGTATTCCAATTCCTGACCTAGTCGCTGGAGAGAAATTAAATTGAGCGGAGGCTAAGTCAAAGCACTTTACATCAAAAAAGCAATGACATCCATAGAAACAAGCAGGTGCTGGACCCTAAATAGTGCACCTTTTACTGCGCAGCTTTTACTGTAACGCTTATGCTCGACAACTGCATTGCCTTCACTTCACTTTCCTCCACAGATGGATGTAATGTATTCTAAACAAATATCTCAAACTTGTTTAACCAAACCTAAAAACTGTGAAGCAGACATTTGACTGCACAGCCCATTTCCAGTCAGAACGATACGGCCGCACGCTGCCTATATTCAGCTGCTCATTGCATTTTGGTGCGTGTTTGTGTTTGTTTGTGTGTGTGTTTGTGTGTATGTGAGGAGAGCGGGCACCAGAGCATGGCAGCACAAGCGCTTATAGTCCATGATTACAATATTTATGTAGGGAATCAGTTACGTGCAGGTATTGATTCACGCTCACTTTAACACTGTTAGCAAATGGGGCTTCCTCTGACACTGGCTCCATTTCACATCGCGAGAGGTTTCTCCACAAACCAGCAACAATCAGGCGACAATATGAAAGGGACAGAAGACCAAAATATATGTCAACAAATCACTGTGTGTTTCCCACTGCATTACACCAAGAGACAAAGAAATGTACAGACCTATATTCTGTCTCTAATCCATCAATTTATAATGCAACCAACACGACTAAAGCATCCATGTGCAAGTTTAAAGGTCCTATAACACACAAAAATGACTCTTGTGAGCTTTAAGTCATGTTATAATGTTGTTACCGACTCAAAACTTATCCAGAGTTGTTTTTTTTTTTTGTTTCATTCACACGTCTGTCTACATCTCCAAAATTCTAAATACGCTGTTCAACCTTGTGATGTCATGAAGATAGTTTTCATGTTGTCAGCTACATTTTACCTTTCGTTTAATAGAGACTGGAAATTCCAAGGCTGAAATTATCCAAATGATTCTAGTGAGGGTGTATGAAGTTTAAAAACACAGTGGAGCACTTCCTGCATGACATCACAAGGTGGAAAAGAGTGTTTCCTGTTCTACCTTCTAAAGACCTTAGCCAAAAATATGCAGGGTTTGTGTGTTAAACATGTGAATGAAACAAAACACAACTCCAGGTTTGTTGGTGATGAGGAAACAACATTATAACATAGATCAGAAAATAGAGTAATACGGAACCTTTAAGACAAACAATTTTTTCAACAGTAAATCATTTCCAACTTCATGCAGGCCTAATTGAGGCGACTTTTAACATCCCTGAACATCAGTAGGACGCAGGATTAAACCAGGACTATAAACCAAGACTAATCTTGGACTTGAGAGAGTGCGAGAGAGAACCCTGAGTGCACAGAGCAGGGTGTCGGCAAAGTGCGATCGGGCGACCGCTGCACTCAGCTCCGTGGGCCGTGGAACTCCGCGACGGTCCTTTCGCCCGCGGTCACCCAACAATCTATGCAGATGCACCTTCGGGCCTGTTCCCACACTCAGTCCTGGTTCAGTTCTGGTTAGT